AAAAAAAAAAAAAAAGACTTCCTATGAGAACCCTACCAGGCACACCACTGAAGGCTACTTGAGTCAAATGACGGTGACCTAGTTCATCATAATTAAGACCTAAGCCTTAATCCACAGATGGCTGACATTTCAGCGTGAAGCCTAAGCCACACCTACCCTGTTCACAGTGTCTTTGACAGCCGGGACCGGCAGGCGAGGCAGCGATGTCTGGAAGCTGTACAACATGGGTTTTCGGCCTGAAAAGATCTTGACCATACCCTGAAGAGAGAGAATTATATTTTCAGTCTACTGCCATACCACCCTGAACGCACCCGTTCTTGTCTGATCTCAGAAGTTAAGCAGGGTCGCGCCTGGTTAGTACTTGGATGTGAGAATTACAATTTCAAAGACAAGGCTATGTTAAAGATCCAAAGCCACTTTTCCAGTGTGCACAACATGCCAACCACTTACTGATTTTCTGTGTCGATTTATTTTTCATCTGGTCCATCTTTTACCCGCCCCATACTTACGGGTTCTAGCAAATAAGCATATAACCCCGCCCTCCATGCCAATAAAAACCTGGGCAACATGGCAAAACCCCATCTCTACAAAAAAAACACAAAAAATTAGCCAGGCGTGGTGGCATGTGCTTGTTGTCCCAGCTACTTGGGAGGCTGAGGCAAAAGGATTGATTGAGCCTGGGAGGGTGATGCTGCAGTGAACCGTGATCACCCCACTGCACTCCAGCCTGGGCGACACAGTGAGACCCTATGTTAAAAAGCAAAACAAAAACAAACAAACAAACAAACCACGTGGAATCAAAGCCAAGCCTGACGGAGGCCGTGAGATGTCGCTGCCAGCATCGTGACTAGCCAGGACTCGAACTGTGCTTCTGTACCTAGGGTGAGTCTCACCCCACCTCCTTCTGCAAGGCCCTTAGTTTAGGGATGGGCTCCAGGCTCTAGGAGCAGTGAGGAGGGTCAACGTGCCTGACCCTGAGCCAAGCTGAGGGGAAGCAGCGTCTTTCCTTCAGTCATTGCCAAGCCTCCCAGAGGGCACATTTGTGGCCCTTGGTTTTAGGCTGGATGATCAAGTCTGTATAATAACCAGTCACCTCAATGCCGACCAAAACAAAGGCAGTCCTCGGGCCCAGGTGGGGAGTCCTGGTACCGCAGGGCGTTGGGACTCAACTGAACCTCAGCTGCGAACCCACCGGAGGGAGTGCCCTTTAGCCTGCTTTGCCAAGCGTGGGAACCACCCGAATCTCTTCTAGGTGTTAAATTCTGCTTCTCTAGAAATCAGGAACTTTATACCCAAATGGCAGAAACTGATTTGAGAGAAAAAATTGGTTTGACTGGGTGCGGTGGCTCACGCCTGTAATCCCAGTACTTTGGGAGGCCGAGGAGGCTGGATCGTTTGAGCCCAGGAACTCGAGATCACCTGGCCAACATGGCGAAACACTGTCTCTATTAAAAATACAAAAAATTATCCGGGCGTGGTGGTGTGTGCCTGTGGTCCCAGCTACTGTGGAGGCTGAGGTGAGAGAATCGCTTGAGCCCAGCAGGGTGGAGGTTGTAATAAGCTGAGACTGCACCACTGCACTCCAGCCTAGGTGACAGAGCAAGCTGCTGTCTCAAAAAAAAAAAAAAAAATTTGTTTGGCAAGAGTGGAGTCCCAGTGTGTGGTGGGCACTGCGGTGACTCCCACACTTCTCTTACAAGGCTTCCCCAGAGGTTGGGACAGCAGCCCAGTCCAGGCAGGCACCACTGTGGGGGCTACCCAGAGGCAACCGAGCAGAAGGGCCCCGGGGCCAAGGTCGGGGCAGACAAAAAACCAAAGCAGACCCACGGCTTCATATACACCGGCAGACCCATGGAGCAGCCTCATTCGAGAAAGATTCTGCAGAAAATTTTCTCATGATTACCTGGTCCATTAGAACCATTTAGGCCACTTGGCAAGACAGGGGTGAATAAACCAGATGTTTCTTTACACATGTCCAGCCCCAAAGACCCAGGTTGGGCTTGAGGTGCTGAGCAAAGCCCAAGGCCCAGGGCCATGACTACAATGGGCAGATGGTACATGGGGCACATGCCCGCCTGCAGGGGGTCACAGGGG